GAAACTTTTAGGAAAATTTATATATAGGCTATGTATTAGATGATATTATGAAACCATTCAGTTTGTTGAAGGGATAATAACATTGTTGTTATTTTTAAAGTCCTTTTTAAAAAAAAAATCCATGGAAAGACATGTCTGCATTGAATCCTTCAGCAGAAAATAAGAAGTGATAGATGAATCAAGTGTGGCAAAATCTTGACAACCTTTGGAGTTCATTATACTATTCTCTGTTTTGGTGTATGTTTGAAAATCGTTATCATCATCATGACCATCATCAGGAGTAAGAATTTCTAAGAGGCAAACTGGTAAAAGCAGGGTTAGACAATTGGCCATGATAAAGAAAATATCAACCTCTAACCTTTCCATCTCATAACCGGATTATTTATCTCTCTCAGGTAGTTAGACAAGTTCCAACATTTTAAAAGTGAAATAACCCTGTTTTTTCAGTGCTTAATCCCCAGTAGGGGGCATGCAAGAGACAGCTGATCAATGATTCTCTCATTGATATTTCTAATCTCTCTCCCTCTTCCTTCTTCTCTAAAATTAATAAAAATACAGTTTTTAAATGGCCTGCCCAAGATTACACTGAGTATAAAAATTATATTCCTCAAATGTCTGTCACAAACTATTATCCCACATTTTGTGTGAATTCAAAAGATTTGATTAATGTCAGTGTAACCAATGTTATACAGGTATCAATATTGTGAGTCAAGTCTCACAGAAAGAATTCCAAAAATAAAATTACTGCAGAGGGAAATGTTAGGCACCCTGTTTTCTCTCTGAATAGGTATAACTTCAGAAGTTTCACCATAGCATTTTCTCCTTTGTGTGTGCTTGGGTGGGGGGGAAAAGCAGGGACTCAGGGACAATAGATACAGAGCAGAATAGAAATTTAGCATAGGGGCTTAATTAACAGTAGGTCACATGACCCAAAATCTTTAGGGTGCGGTGCCTGCTGGAGTAGGGTACAGTGGAGGACCTGAGGAGGTGGCATGCATTTCTCACTGCCCACGGCACTGAGTCAGACCAGCAACAATTCCAGAGAACACTGCCAAAATGACTAAGCCACAGCCCCATTTATTTGTATTGTTTGTGACTCATACAACCCCAGGCAAGGGCAAAGAGAGGCCTTGATTCCTGACTGTTGACTTTTGGTTGGTGATCATTCAAAATGTCCTAGTGTCATAATGTAATTATAGTGGAATTCATCTTGAGCATAAAAAGGACATAATTAATTACATTCATTACAAATGTGGTAGGCAGCTAGCCAGGCAAGAGCAGAGCAAGGACGATGGACCAGGTATAGAAGGTCACCAGGGTGAAAAGCCCCAGGTGCCTAGCAACGAACAATTATGGGGCTGTAGGGTGGGACAACCCAGGAAGACTTTTCCTCCCCCTTAGCCTATAGCTGGTCTTGAGGTTTGGGCCCCAGGCCTGACCTTTCCTTAGAAATAACATCCAGGTCTCAGTAGTATTTCAGCACCAGCCCCAAAAGAGCAACAAAACCAGCCACAGCTGACCTCAGGACCAGCTGCATTGAATAATGACCCCCTGCCCTGGTGTCAAGCAATCAATCGGTGGACACCCCGACCCTGAAAGGGCACACCTGGAAAGCTGCTGAATATTAAGATCTCCCCCAGGGACCTCCACGCAAATCTCCACCCTTAGAACCCTTAGGACCGAGGACCCAGTGCACTCTCCCTCCTGCGAGCCCACCCACGCCTTTCTTTTCCTTTCTCCTGCCCCCTCCCCACAAGCACTTTACCTTTACCTTCCTCGCTCCCAAGCTCCAAGGACCCTTCCTTTACCTCTATAACTTGTTTCCTAAGCCCACTTCTAGGAATTACTTTTTCTACACCTGTGACTTATAAATAAATGTTCTCTTATAGTTTGGATCTTGGCTCTGAATTCTTTCCTGGCCAGACACCAAGTCCCGAGGTTGCTGAACTCAGGGCTGGTCTGACCCCATGGATCTAACACCCAGTGCCATTCCCACTGCCTAGAACACAAGTATAATCAAAATTACTAACTGTTTCAAGTTTGATAGCGTAAGTCCTGGAAATCAGGCAGGTACCCAAAGAGTGAGGCTTGTGGCTATTCATAGTCAAATGGTCCCTGGCACTGTTCACAACAGAGTAAAATAAAAGTTTCTAAAATCTCTGTCAGACCATGTCTCGGGGTCTGAAGAGATGCATCTGTCTTTTGGCTGAAGTGGTGAAAGCTCAGCTGATGCAAGGAAGCAAAGAACTTTCTCTCATGTTAGCCTTCTAGCACATCAGCTCTCTGAGAACAAAAATTAGGCTAGAGGATAAATCTATATTCCCTACCAGAGCTGACTGTTACTTGAAGGGAGTAAAAACATTGAACCTCATCCTTGTATCAACAATGGGGAAAAGTCCTAAACCTAGAAGAGGAAGGTGTAATAATATTCTTAAAGAGATCTTAACATCATATCTGAAGCTTAATAACTTAGAAAGTTGTAATAGCAGACACAATAGAATATGGCTAAAGACAGAGAGGATTATTTAATCAGATAACATTTCCATAGGTTCACTTTTCAGTTGACTTATTCAATAAAAGCGCAGATGAAATATAATGCAAGGGGAGGGAGACCTTAAGTCAGTGGTTCTCAACCTTCCTAATGCAGCGACCCTTTAATACAGTTCCTCATGTTGTGGTGACCTCCAATTTCATTGTTACAAACTGAAGATAATTAAAGCATAGTGATTAATCACAAAAACAATATGTAATTATATATGTGTTTTCCGATGGTCTTAGGCGACCCCTGTGAAAGGGTCGTTCGACCCCCAAAGGGGTCGGGACCCACAGGTTGAGAACCACTGTTTTAAGTGTTTCCAAAAATGTGCTTCACCAAGTAAAAGAGCAGCAGAAGGAATTTGTTGGTGCAGAAAATAAATATAACTATTTCCCTGTTTAGTTCATCTCTTCTCAGTTGCACAAAGCTATCATCGGCGCAGTATCATTTAGATAGACACCTCAAAATTGCTTCCGTGAAATCACGGAAATCTCCCCTGGGAGAGAGCCTTGGTCTGCCCATGACCCTGGACTAAACTTTAACCGGCTCATCTCAGCCTTGTGCGGTTGTTGGCTGCAGTACAGAAACATGATGCTCCAAAGGCAGAAGATTGCACCAGCCAGGCCAGTGCTGTTGTTTCATCACCCTCCGCCAGTCATCTAGGATTGAAATAATCAGGCTGACTCCAAACACCAGGATGTACACACCCTGGGACAGTGCTACCTAAGCAGGACGTAAGTCAGGCTGGGAGCAAAGCTGCATACCATGAACAGTTGTGGGATTAACAGAGATGAAGCTGCAGGTGTCAGAGCCTAAGTCAGATCTCACATTGTCCTTTGCTGATGCACCTATTTTAGCATTTATCACAGTGGCCTCTTGGATGCCTGTCTCCCCACAGGAACCATGCCTTAATCACCTTTGGATCCCCAAGTAATTCTAGAAGGATACCCTGAACAACTGCCACTCTTTCACTTCCACTCCACTCCTTCCTGGAGGTACCTTGGGAAAAATAAAGACCAAAAATAGAAAAGCCAGATGCATAACAACAACAAAAATCCAACATGTGAAAGTATTCACTTTCATATAGGCTAAAGAAACTAAACGAAGGCTACTGGCCACCCTCACCTGGTGATTTTTTTGAGCCTCTTAACCTACCCAATTGAAACACCTTGTGCCCTTTTAAATTCATAACCCAAGAGATGAACCACCACTGCCATCACCTCAATACATAGGGCCCCATAAACAGTCACTCAAGATCAATGAAAGCCCAAATTCTCACCAAAGACAACAGAAAACCAGCAATGAAGTTTGTCCTCTCCTTAAAACATAAGGACACATATGAAAAAATGTACCCAACCCAGAAAAACAAAAAATTAGTAGATCTGCTCTGAGAAAAAGGTATCTGGCACTACAAAGAGGATATCCAATCTTAGTATAAATATTTTCAGTAATAATACTTTGGTATTTAAGTAGACATCACAAAACTACTAGTCGCTTCACTCATTTGAACATAACAATAAATTATACAGAAGTAGACAGATGTTTTCATTCAAATAAGTTATTTTTTTAACAAAATTTCTACAACTCCTCTTAGACAAGCCTCCAGAAGATAAACTCCTTCTAGTAAAGTGTTTAACATTTTGACCTTCTTTAATCCCAAATTAGATAGGCACAAAATGGTTTCAACAATTATTTTTGAAAAATGCATAAAGACTTAATCTTTTAATTAACCCTAGTGATTCATTTCTTACTAATTTGTAGCCACTACTCCCATAGAATTCTACTCCCCTAAGAACCTGCTGTCTTTAATAATTCTTAAAATTCTTTAAAAACAGTTTTCTTGGGGACAGAAGCAGGGACTGGTTAAATCAGTTGATTTGTTAATTCACTTCTAACAAAAATTAAACAAGTTTCATTACTTGCAGGACTTTTCTGAGCCTTTGTTACTGTGCAACACTACTCTCCAACAGGAAGGTGTAGTGTGTGGTGATTCCCAAGCTGATTTCACAGAAGAGATTTTTGTTTTGGGGGGGGTTTTTTCCATGTATCATCAATTAGCTTTTAGCAGGAAAGAGTATTCTGAGGAACAGAATACTTTGAAAGCCACATAATTAGAATAGTGTTAATAAAACCTCAAAAATAGGTTTAATTCCCAGTTTAGTCCAATTACTTTTATTTTTAAGCCATTGACTACATCTTTAAAACCATGAACAACCACCTTTAAATGCATGCCTTTACAAATACCCTGTAAGAACACACAGGTAAACTAGCAAACGTTATCTCCTTTACAGTAACAACTCATTCAACACTTAGGCAGCTACTATTTTGAAAAGAATCATGAACAATCCTACAGAATGCACTACTCTATGCATATTACAAGTTCAAATTGAGTAGATGTAAATGGGACATTTTATATCGTCATATATTTGATATTTTAACCATCAAAATGAAAAGAAAGACTCACCAACAGAAGCTGAGTTTTTAAGAACTGACTCCTTTGGGACTCCTTTTTCAATTCGTAACGTGGCCCACTGTTCAAAAACAAGAAGCATTAATTTAAACTGTTCCATAGACACAGTATAGCATACTTAATCATGCTTATTCAGAAGTGTAATTAAACAGTAAGACTTGGTGTTACTTGAATTAAAGAGATCCCCCAGTGAATCTCTGATGTAGCACTATTCCACGTCCCAGGCATACTCTTGTATTAGTTCTGATAATGCCTTAATGATAGGAGGAACAGATCACGTTTACCCCATTTAAATCACTCACACACAATCTGGTACCACAATAAATCACTCCTTGAAAAGGTGGTGAAGCATGTTGGGCAAGGACGCAGGTTATAGCCTTAAGACTACCAGGGTTTGCCCTGGCCAATGTAGCTCAGTTGTTTGAGCATCGTCCAGTCACCAAAAAGTCACCAGTTAAATTCCTGGTTAGGGCACATGCCCAGGTTGCAGGTTTGGTCCCCAGGTGGGTACAGTAGACAACTGATCAATGTTTCTCTCTCACATCAAAGTTCCTCTCAGTCTCTCTCTAAAAAAATCAATAAAAACGTAATTTATTTAAAAAAAAAAAAAAGACTACCTGGGTTTCAAGCTACTTAATCCTTCTAGGCCTCAGTCTCTTCATATGGAAAGTAAAGATAATAGTTCCTATCCCATAGGATTTGCTATGAGGATTAGATGAAATTAACACATGTAAAAACTCATGGCCCAAAGAATAGCTATTATTTTCATGGTAAATTAGGCATTCCAGGGTGAGATGCACTCAGGGTGAGATGCACTCAGGCCTAATTGCCTGCATCAATGATAAGCTTGAAAAGGAAGACAGAGTGAGACTCGGAAAGCTGGAAAACAATCAGTGAAGTCGGTAACTAAAGAAATCATATGCCCAGATGGTCACTTATGTTTTAAGATACATAGGGAAAATGTTATAATTAGGAGTAACCAGGGGTTTGAGAGAAGTTAAGAACAGGGAAAATCAACTCCCATTTTGCTTTGAATGTACATAGGAGTGTAAAGAAATATACCAAGATGTGACTTGCTATTTTTTTATACTTTTTTTAATGCATTTTCAACATCATCTACCATTAACATCATAGTTTAAAAACTACAAAATGGCCCTGGCCAGCGTGGTTCAGTTGATTGCAGCATCATCCTGTGCACCAAAAGGTGGCGAGTTCGATTTCTGATCAGGATCAGGACACATAGCCAGGTTGCAGGTTCGACCCCCAGTCCATTGATGTTTCTATCTGTTTCTATCTTTTCCTTCCTCTCTCTAAAATCAATAAAAATTGATTTTAGAGAGCTTTTTAATGGCATGTTCCTACTTGGCTCTTTGGAATGTTGTGCAGGGGTCCTGACGTAGTCAGATCATGCCTTACTCTTTGACCTTCATGTACATATTTTAGGTTATTTATTTTCTATCAGTTTATTTTCTTATTTATTTGAAATTTTATTTTCATCTCTCTGAATTATCCCTCTGAACTTATCAATAATTGATATGTCTTGCCGTATTTAATAAATTCTTTGTAATGTGCTTTAAAAACAACAACAACAACAAAAGTTAACCTTGTTGACAGCATTCCAGAAAATCACAATGGTTATTTTTTCTAGTTTAGAAAATGAGCCATTAAAATATTATTTAGATTATTACAATTCCAGAAGTTAACACTGGCTAAATTGACTGATTGGGGCGGGGGGGTGGGGGAGGAGCCAAGGAGGGAGAGGTGAAATGCATTGTAATAATTATAATTAGAACTTAAGCACCTTCGAGGAACAAAAAGAATTTATTAAATACGGCAAGACATATCAATTATTGATAAGTTCAGAGGGATAATTCAGAGAGATGAAAATAAAATTTCAAATAAATAAGAAAATAAACTGATAGAAAATAAATAACCTAAAATATGTACATGAAGGTCAAAGAGTAAGGCATGATCTGACTACGTCAGGACCCCTGCACAACATTCCAAAGAGCCAAGTAGGAACATGCCATTTGTGCTTAGAGTACAGCCTATAAATAGAAGCTAATCTTCCAGGCTTCAAATGTCAAATCACAAATTATAATAAGACTCTGTCTTAATCTGGTTACATCTTTTTCCCTTCCTTGAAAACTTAAACTCTAGACCTCCCACGTTTTCTCAATAGAGGTAAAGGTTTATTCCTATGTTTTTACTTTTTAATTTTTTACTTATTGATTTTTAGAGGGGAGGGGAAGAACAATTTGTTGTTCCACTTATTTATGCATTCACTGGTTGATTCTTGTATGTACCCTGACCTGTATGTACCCAAACCCACAGCCTTAGCACATAAGGATGACACTCTAATCAACTGACCTATCTGGTCAGGGCTCTATAGTTTTTCACTTTAAAGCTTTATACCTATTATCATTGTAAGTAGACCACAAATATGATAAAAACAAAATATTGTAAACAAGCAATCATTATCAGTCTTCGAGCTCAGTTTTCTTTTATGGTAGGCATCTGATTTTATATTTTATATCAATAGTAAGTACCTTCAACTAGGATAATTATTTCATGTTCATCTGATGGAAAATATTGATATTTTGTGGTTGTTATAGACTAACTTGTGTGTTCCCCCCCCCCCAAATTCATATGTTAAAGCCCTAACCTCCAGTACATCAGAATGTAACTGTATTTGGACATATCACCTTTAAAAAGATGATTATGTTAAAGTGAGGTCTTTAGGGTGAACCCTAATACAATCTGCCCGGTGTCCTTATAAAATGAGAAAATTTGGCCAAACAAGGAGATACCGGGGATGCACACACACAGAAGAAGGGCCATGTGAGGACACAGCAAAAGGCAGCCATCTGCAAGACAAGGAGACAGGCCTCAGAAGAAAGCAACCTGCCAACACCTTGATCTTGGACTTCCAGCCTTCATAACTGGGAAGAAATAAATTTCTGTTGTTTAAGTCTCCCAGTCTGTGGTACTTTGCTATGGCAACCCTAGCAAACTAACACAGAGGAATTGCTTAAATAGTATGATTTGCTACAAAGAGTTCCATGTTCTGTCACCAGACAAGGTTCAGAACACATAACATCTCCTGAAATGGTAACACCAAAGGCCTGTCCTACCAAATGCAATTATGGTGTTCAAGACTAGCAAACTTTAAGGTGGGAGAAGTTATTTAACGTAACAGGGAGTTTATACTGGAAAACCATTTTGTTTTTTGGGCTTCTTCTCCAGTGAATGTGAAAATGTGCCTGCTCTGCAGTCAGACATACAAGCATATGAATCGCAGGTCTGCCACTTCCAGGCTGTCACCATCTCAGACAAAATACTTTAACCTCTTGGGGCCTCATTATCATCATCACTAAACTGGGACAATTACCAAGCATTGTTATAAAGATTGAAAAAAATAATCTATCTGTCCAGGGATGCAAAGCTGGTACAATATTCACAAATCAATAAACATGATACATCACATAAGCAAAATGAAGGATAAAAATCACATGATCATATCAATAGATGCAGAAAAAGCATTTGACAAAATCCAGCACTCTTTTTTGATAAAAACTCTCAGTAAAGTGGGAATAGAGGGATCATACCTCAACATAATAAAGGCCAAATATGACAAACCTAGAGCCAACATTATACTCAATGGGCAAAAACTAAAAGTGTTCCCCTTAAGATCAGGAACAAGACACTCTTATTCAGCATAGCACTGGAAGTCCTAGCCACAGCAATTAGACAAGAAGAAGAAATAAAAGGCATTCAATTTGGAAAGGAGGAGGTTAAACTCATTATTTGCAGGTGACATGATATTATACATAGAAAACTCTAAACACTATACCAAAACCCTAGCCATGTGGTTCAGATGGTTGGAGCATCGCCCCATACACCAAAGGGTGGCAGGTTCGATTCCCAATCAGGTATTAAAAAGAAGAAAAAGACTCCATCCAAATATGCTAAATTTAACAAAGTAGAAGATAAAAAATTAACATCCAGAAATTGATGGCATTTCTAAACACTAATAATGAACTCTCAGAAAGAGAAATTTTAAAAAAGAATACCATTTACCATTGCAACGAAAAAAATAAAATATCTAGGAATAAACTGAACCAAGGAGGAAAAAGACCTGTATTTGGAAAACTATAGGACATTTTTAAAAAGAAATAGAGGAAGACATAAACAAATGGAAGAATATTCCATGTTCATAGATTGAAAAAATTAATATAATTAAAATGTTCAAATATAGCCAAAGTAATCTACAGATTCAACGCAATCCCTATTAAAACACCAAATGCTTATTTCACAGATCTAAAACAAATGTTTCAAAACTTTATATGGAACTAAATAAGACCGTGAATAGCCTCAGCAATCTTGAAAAAGAAGAACAAAGTTGGAGAATCACAATCCCAGATATCAAACTATATACACTATACATATATCAAACTATACTACATGGACATTGTAATCAAAACAGCCTGGTGCTGGCCCAAGAACAGACATATGAATCAATGGAACAGAACAGAGACCCCAGAAATGGCCCAAAGCCATTACTCTCAATTAATATTTGACAAAGGAGGCAAGAGCATACAATGGAGTCAAGATAGTCTCTTCAATAAATGGTGTTGGGAAAATTGGACATGTACATGCAAAAAAAAATGAAACTAGACCACCAACTTACACCATACACAAGAATAAACTCAAAATGAATAAAAGACTTAAATGTAAGTTGTGAAACCATAAAAAATCCTAGAAGAAAACTAGGCAGTAAAATCTCAGACACCTCATGTAGCAGAATTTTCAGATACATCTCCTACAGCAAGAGAAACAAAGGAAAAAACAAACAAGTGGGACTACATCAAACTAAAAAGCTTCCGCACAGCAAAAGAAACCATAAAAACAATGAAAAGGGAACCCACTGAATGGGAAAACATATTAGCCAATGATACATTTGCTAAGCAGTTAATTTCCAAAATATATAAAGAAAGTATACAACTCAACACCAGGAAGACAATCAAATTAAAAAATGGGCAAAGGACCTAAATAGACACT